TAATAGAACAATTGCAGAAGGAGATATGTATATGGCAGACATCGTTAGGGATTGGCTTGGAATAGAATAATTATTTCTAGACTTCTAGGAATGGTATTATGTATGAATAAATATGAAACTGTATTGTGTCTTTGTTTTATGTGTATTTTTTTGTTTTAATATTTATGGATTTTCAAAGCTTTTTTATTTTGCCATCTTGATTTACCATGATATCCAACTAGTTGATAATTTTATTGAACTAATTTAACTAGGGTCTTTGAAACTTGTTTCACAGAATTGCTATAAAAAGTGTTTGTCAAACCATTTTTAATACTACTTAAATGCCTTTTGCAAACTCTCTTAGGTCCATCCGCATAAACGGTTTATATTTGGCGTTTCAATTGTTTTCAGGCGTTTTGCAAAACCGCTATAAAGCGTTCACGGAAATCCAAAATTTAGATCTACTGAAACATGTTCATTAGTTTTGTGATAGGCGTTTGTGATCTTTTGCAAACATTTGGCAGTAACTGTCGAAGAATATGTGCCAAAGCTTGTTGGGTTGGGTCGATCTCCTTTCATACATTCACCATGGATGTACCCACGTTTTGAACTTAAGTATAAGTTATTCCCTTTATATATCACTATATTTTTACCAACAAACAATGTGGGACAAAACATGTTCATTTAAGGTCATGTAAATTCTTATGTGTGAAATTCTTATGCACATTTAAAACCAAATATTGAAAAATGGAACTGTATCTAGATAGATTTGGCGAGAAACATGCTCATTCACTAAACTATAGGTAAATGAAACTAAACAAAGAAACATGCAATTTTAGATACGAAAAGCGATGATTAACTAAAAGCAAGTAAATTGAGATATTCAATGATTAATGAATACTAGTTTATCATTGAATACTAGTGCATCTAAAAGATCTTCTCGTAAGCAATATGCCTTAGTAAAGGGGATTAAGGGTTTCTTATAAGAAGATTAGATCCAAGGCTAAGGTGTAGTTGGTTCATGGATTGTGATAGATTCTTGAACGTGAAAGGCTAGATTAAGGAGATTGAGTAGAACTTGTAAGTACACTTGATTATTGATCTAGTAATATATTTTTGAGAAAAGAAAACTCCGTGTTATTTGTGTTCGTTGCCTGTACAAGCACCTGTATCGGCAGCTGTCACACTTGCTCTGTATTACAGTCATGTATTACTCTCTGTTAACCAGTTCTTGCACTTACATCCATAAACCCCAATAATTGGAGGGATAAGTGCAAACCAATTATACAACTATCAGTAGAAACTATTAATTGATTTATCATGGATAACCAAAGCTTATACAACTATTTGTAGAAAATATGAATTGATTTATCATAGATAACCAAAGCTTGCTTTCTATTCTATATTTTATGGATTTATCATAGATCACCGTTTCATAAAAAGCTTATGAATTAACGATCTGGAGAGATAAGTGCATTAGGAGTTGTGACCTATAGATCTGTTAGAATAATCATTGAAATAAAAATGAGACATAAAATGATGTATATAACAAGAGTCAATTCACTAAAAGCTAAAATGATTTTTGTATTATCAACATGTTATTGATAAAAGTGAAGGGATTATTGATTCAAATATGATAGGTAAGGTCGAGTAGGAACTGTTGTCAGATCTAAAATAAAATTAAGTTGGAGATGGAACAAAAGAGCCATTCAAGTGGGAATCCTATATCTGAAAAAGATGATCGAGAATTGGATTCCCACAAACATTGTCAAGATCCAACCATACATAGGATGATGACATGACAGTGAATGATAAAAAAAAAGGTTTGAAATGTGAATTGAAAATAAAATGAAACCAAACCAATGCATGAGATTTGAGAAGTAAAGTCTAAAGAGTAAAGACCAAGCCCATTTTTAAAGCCAAGCCCAATAAGAAGCCCAAATAATAAGCCGAAGAAGTTAGGCGCGGCTTTAGGTAGAATTCGAAGTCTCAGAATCTATATCGCCCACCGCTCTTTTATGATTTGATTTATTTTTTTGGGATATTAAGGAGTTTTAATACGAGTAAAAGTCGTTTTTGCCCCTCTTCGTCTTCCCGCTGTTTCCTCTCGCCTCACGTA